TTTTTATACGGTTTCTTCGCCAACTCCAATAGTTCAAAGTTTCAAAACCTGATCTTTTTTCCCTTGTACTTTGTTTTCAGATCTGCTTCCACCATCTAAACGCCGTTTTTGGAATTCAATTCGTACGAGCTTCAGTTTTCAAGGTTTGAAATTTGGATGTGCTTAGCTTTGATTTGGTCTACTGGAGATGTCGGTTTTACCCAAAGGTGATTCGGTTCATATTCGAGAAGTTTGGAATGATAATCTAGAAGAAGAGTTTGCGTTGATCCGTGAAATTGTTGACACGTACAATTATGTAGCTATGGATACTGAGTTCCCCGGTGTAGTTCTACGCCCCGTTGGATCTTTCAAGAACATCAATGATTATAACTACCAAACTCTGAAAGATAATGTGGATATGTTGAAGTTGATCCAGTTGGGCCTCACTTTTTCGGATGAGAATGGGAATCTTCCCACCTGTGGAACTGATAGCTCTTGCATTTGGCAATTCAATTTCTGTGAGTTCGATATAAGCCAAGATATATTTGCTAGTGATTCCATCGAGCTGTTGTACCAGTGTGGGATTGATTTTAAGAAGAACAACGAGAAGGGTATTGATGTGAAGCGATTTGGTGAGCTTTTGATGTCGTCCGGGATTGTGCTGAATGATTGTGTGAATTGGGTAACTTTTCATAGTGGATATGATTTTGGGTACTTGCTAAAGCTTTTAACATGCAGGAGTTTGCCTGATAACCAAGCAGGATTCTTTGATTCGATCAACATGTATTTTCCCATATTGTACGATATCAAGCATATGATGAAGTTTTGCAATAGCCTACATGGTGGTTTGAACAAGCTTGCTGAGTTGTTGGAAGTGGAAAGAGTCGGTGTGTGTCACCAAGCTGGCTCGGATAGTTTGCTCACATCGTGCACATTTAGGAAGTTGAGAGATAACTTCTTCAACGGCTCCACAGAGAAATATGCAGGCGTGTTGTATGGTCTAGGGGTTGAAATTGGACAGAATACTACTAATTAGAAGGAAAAATAATTGGGAAAAGTTTGATGAATGTAGACTACTTTCAGTGTGAGGCTTAATCTTTATTTGTATACATTGGCAAAAATGATTGTTAATTTAGTTGGGAGCTTATCTCCCTTACTTGCATTGTAACTGAAACCTTAACTGGTTTCCTAGTTGAAATCATGTATAAATTATGCCGTTAAGTGTTTCCATAATAATTTTAATCATTTGTGTTGCGTTCAACTTAGATTTTATCCTCTTAATCTATTTCCTCTCAGCATAACAGTTTGTTTATGAATTCTGAACTCCTTGGGTTCTTGATCCAATCATTCTAGCGTGGGCATAAAAAACTTGTTAACGTGCTATAATTTATTGCTATGAATGACAAGGGACAATTCTCCTTGTAGAGGTAGTGCATCTTTCACAATTGTAGATTGCTAAATCATTGGAGACATAGGAATAAGAATTTCTGCGCTGAGATGGAGTAATTTTTGATGAGCTCATATTACTGCATTTATTTCGAATATGGTGCATATGGTGATGTTGTACTACCCCCTTCCCCTGTTAACATGAAATGTTGTTAGATGTTCTTTGAGTACTTGGAATGAAAGGAGGACCGAAATTTCCTTTTGGTTTTTCGATGTTGTGGTTCAGAGAACTAGAATGCTCAAAAATTGTGTACTCCTATCCTTTCTTGTGGAATTAACTCCATGTTTCAATCTACATTCAATTTAAATGCTACTTGCAAATCTTTCCATACTTAACTGTTTGCTCTTATCCTTGATTTTGCTCCAAGGCCGAGATGAAAACAAATGAGGTGAAAGGCGCAGAGCATGAGACCAGACGAGAGGTTGCAGAAATGCCAAAGGAATGGTCAATTGGGATCCCTTCCCAAGCGATTGAACTCTTACTTCCATTAGATATAAACGGTAAGCTGTAATTTCTTGCAGTATAAGATTGGTTGAGAATAGTTATTACCTGTTCACAATTTATCAGACACCATTCTACCATTGAGCACCATTCTCATATAGAAGACCGAGTTAAATCCATCATGGTAAGGTAGCATTCTTTTTTTCTTTTTTTTCATTTCAAGTTTTAGCCATAGATTAGTTTCCTTGAAGGATTACCAGATAATTTAGATTAGATATAGTTCATAATATGAAAGTATTACCAGATGATAGGCCCTCTATCATCCTCTATTTTTTCAACGGTTTGCTTTCATGATGACTAAAATTTTCATTCTATAGCATCAAAAGAAATTTCAGCAGCTGCCTGCAGTGATTGATGCAGAACGATTGGAATTGCTCAGCATTACAGTAGGTTGTCTTCGATGGGGCTTGAACATATAACTGTATGAGATCAGGTGGTTAGGATATTTGCAATCTTTGTTCAGGTTTCTGGAAATGGAAAATTGTAGCAAGTGAGATCAAGGGTTATTCTTTTTTCGTTTAACAGATTTCTTGTTTTTCCGAAGTTGCATATCAGCGAGCCATCAAGTACTATGTTGCCTTGATTTGAAGAACTTCCCTTCTTCGGAAGAAGTCTGTGGGGAAATATATCTCGGATTCTTTCTCCTGCAGAGCAATATCCTCTTATTTCAGGGCAGTTGCACATGCAGGCTGAATCACAGATCAGTGCAGCAAGGTCCACTTCACCTACTAACCAACTGCCAAAACTGAGATGGACGACTCTCCTATGGAATCTGAACCGCTGAAACCAGCTACTGCAGTTAGAGGCATTAATCTATTAACTGAAGCATCCTTGTATTGTCTTATGCCACTTAATAGATTTGTTCGGATTATAACATAATCAGACAAAATCAATAACAATCCCTCGGTCTGTGTATATTTTAAAATTTTGCCTCTAAACAGAGACAAAACCAACACCATCCAGATTGAATCTTAGAATTCAAAAGATCTCATCTGGGCCAGTTTTGCTCACTTTGAACCCCAAACAATAATAATTAGGTGCCAACGAAACCAATCAACGGTGGTTTCTGTTGCTTAAAGCAGGTCTAATGAATTCTAACGCGATAGAGCTTTTGCATGTTGACCTTTCAACAGATCAACTAACCAATTAATCTTTCAAGCAAGCCAAAGAACACAGCAGTATCCGGCCTAAGCTTTTATACAGTTGATACATTAATTAATACAAAGAAGTAAGAACGAACACGAGATTTTATGTTTGGGAATTTTGAGTTTATAAAATTTTAAAGAACGAAAAGATATTATCAATATAAAAAAAGATAACTAAATTATACGAAAATTTAAAATTTTCATAGAGATACCGTTCCGTCACCCCCTTGATCCAACCACGAGTTTGCATATATCATTTAGTAAAGCATATAGGAAGGTGCCAAAAGAAAATTAAGAGCTGAAAATCAGGGAAGGTGCCGGGAAAGTGGAGACAAGAAGACACAAGTCTGGGCTTAGAATATACGCATGCTTAATCTGGTTCATTTTTATACTTCCAGCGACGCCCCCACGCCCTGGCCCTCTGTCACTCGATATGTCTCAGAACATGCCAACCTGGTTTTCCATTCGAAACTTCACTGATTGTGGGGATTTCCTGCTGGATTTTGTTTCCATGCTTGAACGGTTAATATCAATGATTCACATATGATGACATGTATACATGCATTCATGGTGATAACGATGAACACTTGAAAACATAATGTCATCTATACATACATTCACTTGAATCTTATATAATAATATAGCCTGCAAGCAGCAAGCTTCGAAAGGAATGGAACAGTGAATGAAAATGATAAGCAAAGAAACACTAATTTACTGATGCTCATTCCATAGACATGAGGGCCCATCACTTGATGAGAGTTTGGAGTATATAAAGGTAGCAGGTCACCATCGATCCCTTGGGAGTGCGAGCCAGATAATACCGTCGGCGTTTTATAAATATTCAAAACAACAAACGACAGTACCATGTAAAGCATTAGTTTAATACAAGGGAAAGCACTATGAAGTTGAACCATTCCCCATCTTATAAAACAATGCAAATAAATCGATGAAGAGACGTAGGTTTGCTGGAATCTAAGCTCTTCCCTTTATAAATATACATTGTCAATCCCTTCTGTTTCCCACAACAAAAGGGAGCAACAAAGAACCATTCATGGCTACCAAACATGATGAGAATGCTCCAACAACTGTTCGGGTTACTAAGACAGTTTCCGTACTCCCAAAATCCATACATCCACAACAAATTATCCATCTGTCCAATTTGGACAGGCAGTGTCCTTTGCTAATGTACGTGGTTTTCTTTTACAAATATTCTGGTGCTTTCCAGAACTTGTCTCTGGGTTCGATTTTCAGTTGCTTGAAATCTGGGTTGGAAGACTCTTTCCATTTGGTATCCAGCTGCAGGTAGCTAAGTTGAACTTGAATCCGAGTGATGGTGGTAAGTTTAACCTTTGGTGCAGCAATGGTGGTGCAGTTCTCGTCGAGGCAGATACCAAAGCTAAGATCATTGAACTTGGAGATCTTTCTCAGTACAATGAATTCTTCAAGCATCTGGTTTACAAGCCTGATTTTCATGGGAACTTCTCGGAGATGCCTTTAGTTGTTGCTCAGGTGAAAACACTTTTCTATAACAAATCCCATCTCGATTCATTTGAAGCACTTAGCACACCGAACAAAGTTATATTATTTGATGTAGGTTACCAGGTTTGGTTGTGGAGGCTATGCAATAGGTATTGGTGCGTCCCATTCTTTGTTCGATGGACCAGCTACCTATGATTTTCTCCATGCATGGGAGCTATTTTCTGTAGCTTTACAAAACACACACTATAAAATTTCCATAATTGGAAACATAAGCAACTAATAAGTCTAATATTTATTCATCGAAAGGAAAAAAACATTGGCAGAGCTAGAAAAACTGAGCTCTTAAGATGTTATAAGACAATAAAAAAGTACAAATGTTGCGAGGAACAGACAAGAAAAGAACAGAGAAAAGGCTGATGAAGGCAAAGACAAGGTAACTGATAGATTAGTATCAGTCTCAAGAGGCAAAATCCTTCTTCTGCTGGTTACATTCTAATCTCAGATGCAATCCCCAAGAGAATAATCATTGCATACAAAATCGACGGTGTGCTGGTCTCCGTTTATCATGGCCCTGCATTAAAACAAAGCTAACAAACACAATCATAATTTTATGCATAAATTGTCAAGACGCAGATACTGTTATCAGTGACCAACATTCGACGGCAAATAAGAGATTTACTTAAACAAATATAGTAAACCAGCAAAATTATTGGGCTCATCTAGTTTCTTTCTAAAACCTTAATTACAAAAAAGAGAACTTACCAGGAAATTATGCTATAAAATGATGGAAAGAGTAAATGAAACGGTCAATGGTATAGACATTAGAAACATTCTTACATTAGAGGAAGTTTGCTTATGAATTTAAGGAAAAGATTAATTCTCGGTTTAAAAAAATATTTGACAAAAATTTTCTCATTTCAGCATGCATTCATAGCCTTAGTTTCTATAGTGCAGGCTAATTTGATGGCTGAAACTATGAAAATATAGTTCCCACGTCAGCTAAAGAAGAAACTACTAGTGAAAAATAGACATGACTCTTACCCGATCCATCATCGAACTTGCAAGAGCTTCCAATGAGCCACCATCATCAGAAATGTAACTTCCCTGTGGCATCGGTTGGACAATAAGATAGTCTTCCTTTTCAATATCAGAAATGTAACTTCCCTGTAGCATCGGTTGGACCATAAGATAGCCTTCCTTTTCAATATCAGATGGCTCCGTAATATCAGAAATGTAACGTCCCTGGGGCCTAGATTGGAGCATAAGATGCCCTTCCTTTTCAATAACTTTAGGCAGCATAGCTAAGTTTTTTACCTTTACTATATTGGATGGATAAGGGATCAACAAAATTTGAAGGCTCAACATAATCCAGACTAATGTTGCGGTTGAAAATTGGGTTAATTTGGTCCAAGCATTGTCCCAACCGATCCATTTTACCATGAACAGGGATTAAAGAGTTTATTGCACAGCTTGTAACATTTGATTGGAAAGGGGAATCTTTCCTTGGGGCATTCCATTCGTCGGGTGCACGTCTGATTATTTGACCTGCACTACAGGTGATTGTGAATGTGTGGTCTTGTATAAAATTATTAATAATTAAATATGTAATATTATAATATATAAAAATATAATTATACCGGGTATTTGGGTAACCGGGTCGGGTTGAGTATTTTTTAGGAAAATATCGGGTATTCGGGTAACCCGAAAAATGTCGGGTCAGGTATCCGGTCCGGTCGGATATTTTTTTAAAAAACGCCCTTTTTTTAGTTATGATTGTTGGGTCGAGTCAACTGGATCGAGTATTTATGAACACTCCTAATGGGGACCACAATGGTAGGAGGGCATGCTACACGAGAGAACATGCTTTCGCTTCGAGCCAAAGAAAGTCGGGAACTTTCACGTGCGACGTCTTAGTATACGGTTAAAATAAAGCGCTATTGGTTTTGTTATTATTTTAAATAACAAAACCAGTAAAAAATGACTGAAAACTTCATTATTTTGACAAGTTCTAATTACCTATATAGGTAAACGCGATAAAAAAATCCGGTAAAAAAAATCATCCTCTTTCAACAATTCATTAGCAGCCCACTCAAAGCGATGTTGTCATTTTATTTTATTTCTATACTAATTATGGGTACCTGATCTTTTTATCGATCAATTTGAATAAGATTTTCTAGTAGTGTATTTTTTTCAACTTATTTTATAGTATTAGTAATATTATCTCATTAATTAATTATTGAGACGCAATGTTCTTAATTTGTACTCGAATAGGTTGTATCTTTAATCTTATCTCACTATATTAACTCGATGGAGTTGCATTGGAAATCTGAACCAGTCTCACCATGTTAACGCTGATGTTCAGCCAGTTGGCAAGTGGAGCAATATATTTTTTACTACAATATTATGATATTCCTAGCCATTGTAACAGAGTCTGCAAACTCTTTATCTCAAGGTTGTAACAGTTGACGAATTCCATCAATAGTGTCAACATGAAGTACATTAGTTAAAAACTAATAGTCTTATTCAAGAATGTCAAATCAACCACCCAAAGAAGAACATCTAAAAATAATAATTCGCACCAAATCCTCAAGTATGAAACAAGTCATAGATCAGCCTAACAAAGCTTTTATCAGGCACAGAGTTTCCAGTTTCCACAAACAAAGACAGCGCAGAGAAAAAAGAAACAGTCATTTTGTCAGACAGTCAACCCCCCCTACGCAATTGGGCCACTTCCAACCACCATCGTGTGGCGTTCGATATAGTGCCACATTGTTCTGTTCCTCGTAGTTTAATAAGAATTATTTTGAACAAATAATTATTCCAACCTCCAATGTTGGAAACTTGGAAATTTCCGATTACAACAATTATTCCAATCAAAAAAGCGAAGAAGAACAAAATGGTGCACGCGAAATAGCAAAATTAAGAAACAATTGCTTCTTCTCATTGAATCTGTATGACATCTTTCATTACAACCAGATGCGGGGCTATCAAAGTTGCTACAGCAAACGTACAAGGAAACCATTACAATTATGGGAACAGTGGGGAAAGGATTAGATCTATCTATGTATAAATGTCTCTCTTCGTTGTAATTTCGTTCTCCTAATGTAACATTCTTATTGTACAATGTTCAAGAACAAATGGTGTTAGCGAGAAATCGAATAGCGAGATTATCAACAAAGGATTGTAATTTAGAGGATTTGTAACGGGAAAGCTTCACTTTTTCCAGGCAAAGAGAAGCCAGTAGGAGCACTTAACTCACTCTCCTCCACGCTTGCCCACTCCATTACGGAAGAGCTGGCTCCCGAGGAAGATGAAGACAACGAAATCGATGAAGACGATGAGCTTACAGCGGTCTTCAACAAGCTTCTCCCCATCTTTTTCCACTCGGTTCCATTTACGCTGAAATTACATGAACTTTGCTGCCACAAAACGATCCCATTCTTCTTGTTGAAAGGACCGACCAGTTGTTCAGTCCCATCCTGTTGATAATCTGCTCCAAGGATCTCATAGCCTTCGTTCTCAAACTTGAACATAAAAACCGCAAGCCCATTGTTAAAATCATTATCAAACAACCGGTTATACACGTTCCACGAGACTTGTATCGAGACGCCATCTACTTGGATACGCTCATTGCCTCTAAATTTCCACTTAAGTCGCTTCACTTGCAATACCCTTTTGTTATCAACGCTAAAACACAGCTTCCCATCCTCGTCCGCCTTGAAATCAATGGAGATTTCCCTACTTTTGCCTCCAAATCTGGCTTTTGTGTTGTACACTTTGTTGCCGAGTACGTGTTCTCTTCTCAGAACAAGAGCTTGGGTTTTCCCAGGCTTTTGAGCCCTAGTTCTGGCATAAGCCTCTTTGGCAGAATCGCCAACAAGAAGCGCCATTTCTCCATCAACAACAACAATAGCAATATAGAATCCAGAGTTGGGTTCAGGCCGGATCCAAACTTGCCATTGGAAAGGTCCCAGAAGATTTGAACATTAGGGACCGTGGCGCTGCTCAGTTTTCTTATATCCACTCTTCTTGCAAAAAATTAAGTGCTTGATATGCAGATGAAAATGGAGGGTGGAGAAGGAAAGGGAGGCAGGGAGAGAGAGCGGAGAAGAGGGAGGGTAGTGGGAGGAAGGGTGGAGGTGGAGAGAGTGACCCAGAAACGCGCGTGACCAGGTGAGTGAAAAAAGGCCGAGATGTGTGTGGTAGAGACTCGTAGAAAGGTTCGATTTACCTGAGATTTGTAACGTCGGCGGCGTCGCTATGAAGCTGCTCTCGGCGGCGGCGCAGGGTGGGAAGCAAGAAGGGAACGAGGGGGAATGGTGGTGGGATTGAAGAGTCATCCTTTGTTGGCTTGGGATCGTGTGGACCGAGTTTTCAATGGTTCACAGATGGAGGCACATATTTAAGGTTGGGGGGTTGAGAATTGGAAGGCTTTCCTACCTGAATCTTTCTAATTAGACAGACTTCAAAAATTATTCTAATTTAACCACCTGCCTAAACAATGGCATGTATTGCAACGAATTAATTAACAAATAACTATTGACTAATTACATATTAATGTTTTCGAAGTTTGATCAATATCAACCCAGATTCCATCATTTTAAACACGACCATTTTTTCTTGTAAAATGCACTAGATACTCATTAATTTAATCATATTTTTTTAAAATAAATGTGTAGTGATTCTGACGTTTGGTGGGAAATTAAAAATATAAAATCTTGGGTTATAGTAATAAATAATGGTAACACAAAATTTAGGTCAGGTTGGTGAACTTGTAGAATTGGATCAAATATAATTCAGGCTTTCAATTACGTAGAATTGGAAGTCAAAATGACTCAAAAAAAGCATCCCTAACTGTCTGATTCAAATACTTGGTTGACGATCGCTTGAATTGGGCGGACATCTCTTACGTAGGGTTATCGAAAATGGAGGAATTGAAATCATGGTCCGCAACCTAACAAGCATCCATGTCCCCGCGGTTCATCGTATTTGTTTATTGGATAAACTACTGAAATTGTCTGTAAGTGTTCACTCTGAGGAAGACTTTGACCAAATTCATTATTTGCAACGAAGACAGTTGATGAAAACCAACAGTGATCAGTGATGATGGCGAGCGATGGACATGAAGTTTGATCAGATTCATGCACTTTTGTTGTTGCCATTGACTTTTCAAATCTTCCAAAGTAAGAACTCACTTTCTCCTTTCCTTTTTGGGATGTTCTTAGTCAATCAAACTAATTATAACAACTAAGATAGTTTTTCCCTCAAAGATGAAATAAACCCTAAATAAGGAATTTTTATGGGATTATTATACAGACTCAAAGGAGACGAGTGTGTATAAGATGACAATGTGGAAATTTAATAATGTGTCCAAAGCTAACTCTTTACCTAAATATTCTCCAAACTGCATGCCAGCTACGACAGATGCCTTACCATTTCTCGCTTATTTATCAAGTCACCTTAATTAATTAGGGTAACAGACTAACCCAAGAATATGAAGTTGTTGAGTGATTGACTAATGATTTGTGTGCTTCCATTTTTTTATGGCTTTATATTATTCTTCGTTTTTGTCTTCATAGAATGTAGCAATCGGCTTGCCCTCAAATACTCAAGTTTTTTCACTTGAAATATGGGTCCCCACTGCAGAGTTATGGCCATGTGAGCTCAAGTCTTTGTTCAGTGTATGATAAGGCTGAGCCCAACTTTAACATCCGGAAGTGGGTTTGAACTTGGAAGAGCATGGTCCTTACTTAAAGCTAGCTGCCCTAATTTGTCATCATGACTGATTCCATTAAGGACTGTACATTAGTCCATTATGATAAGGCAGTGGAGCTGCAGGTTGCAGCAAAGTGGTTTCAGTCACGGAACCTGACAAGCCCGTGTCGCTTCTAAGTAACTCTTACTTGGTCTGATAAAGGGATGACAAATGATCGGAACCAGTGTACTACTACCCCAAACCATTCATCAACGGCTCCAATATTGGCAGGTTCTTTACTTACCTTCAACTACACTTTTATCGCAGTCATTGATAACTGGTCGAAATGAACATTGTTAAACGCCACAGGAAAAAGCAGTCACGATCGAAAATGCAATCTAATGAAATCTCTAAAAGCTTAACCCAAGACTGCGCATAAATGTACATAATTGGAGGGAATGAGACTTGAACCATATGCATGTTAGCATTCACATGATCATCCATGTAAACGGAATGGAGAAAAAGGATGAAGGAGATGCCTTGCCGTGCAGTCGAGGCCCCTTCATACAAAAAATTTGAGCTTTTGTTAGTTAAGCAATTTGAAAAGGTTTTTCTGTGCTTGTTGAAACTAATCTTGGCCTTTTTCAGGGTGTGGGCCAACAACCTTTAGGATTTTTGCATGACGATCTCGGCACAAATAAAGCTTTTTTCGGTGATTTCTGGAAAGGGTTTTAAAGACCATATGATTCTATACACCATGATTGGTTTTTGACTACTTTTCTTCTAAGGAAGATCTCACCCTCGACTCTTGTGTTCATCAGAAGGAGCGAAACTCCACTTATTAGACCAGACAATCTATGTTATTTTCAACATCAATCACCA